CTCTCTTTGCCTCCTCTTCCCATTATGTACAACTCAACAACAGAGAAAAAAGTTGCGACACTGGGGTGTGCAGAGACAGGGAGCCGGCCGGTGCCGCAAGGATACAGGGGAGTCCCCGCCGAGTTCCAGGACGGACATACATTGCTCCGCTCTGCATATGTGGCTGCTCCCTCGGGACCACATCTCAAGGATGAGAGGCCTCGGTGTTGGGAGCCTCTGAACAGTCAGGGACACGTATTTGTTCAGTGTGTTTGATACACATGCTCCTCGCATTACGACGGGGTAACGTCCTGATAAGCCGGCCCTAAGCTGAAGGCATCGTAAGTCAAAATGCACTTAGTGTAGCTAACCTGTGAGCATCCCAGGTTGCCTCGCCGGCTGCACACGGCCCAGAACACCTACAGTAGCCACGCTGGGCAAATCGTCCAACAGCGGCTACACTGGAGAGTGCGGGTTGTTGACCCTCCTGATCGCGTGGCTGCCTGGGGCCTGCATCGCTGCCCAGCATCTGAGAGACTATGGTACTGAATATCGACAGGGAAAGATCAAGGTTTACAATTCGAAGTATGGCTTCTACTAAATGCATATCGTTTTGGCAACATCGTGAAGTTGAAGACTCCCAAGTCGAGGCCCGTACTTGGGTACTGGGATTAGGCCCATGTCCGGCTTTGGGTGGCAGGGTTGGCAGGGCCGGGTTCACTCGTGCAGTCATCCAACCTGGGACCTGGGAGGTGCCTCTGGGAGCAGCCCCGGGGCAGGCGTGAGTCACCCACCGCGCTTCAGGGGAGCAGATGGGGCTGCTGCTGGTTCCCGCACAGCAGTTCCGTGAGGGCGTGTGTGTCTGATCAAGCTGTGATGTAACATTGTGCAGTGTGCAGTGCAGGACTCTCTTTGGCTAAAGAGTCTTACGTGATGGTAAGGATACTGGGCCTTCCCCATTCTGGCATTGGCTCTGGGCCCAGGCAGGTCCCAGCTAACCGGAGACCACCCCCCGCCCCCCTTCCCACACAAGTGCACGCCAGGAACTGAACGTCCCTGGTCGCTCGGTCGCTCGCAGCCGCCCTGTGTCTGACGTGTCCCCCCTCGGGCCTGCTTCCCTTCTGCCCAGGCTTTGACTTCAAGACCTGCAATGTGCTCGTGGCGCTGGAGCAGCAGTCCCCAGACATCGCCCAGGGCGTCCATCTGGACAGAAACGAAGAGGACGTCGGTGCCGGAGACCAGGTGGGAGTGCGGAGCCTGGGCGCTGGGGCAGGACTCGGGCAGTGCGGCCGCTCTGGCCCTGCTCTGCCCTGCGTTGAGGAGCTGGTGGGGAAGTTCCTGAATAACGGGTTAATCACACTATGGGGTGACCCCTCCTCCTGGGGGACCGCAGGGAGCTGCACGCCCCTACTTCAGGGCAGCGACCTGAGGGCGCCGCGGGCTGTGGAAGGCTGGGGTTGCTGATGCCGATTTGGGCTGTCTCCCCTCTTAGGATGTTGGGTGGCAGAGACCGTGCCATCCCCTCCACAGGGCCCAGCTCGAGTGCTGCGTGCGCGAGGCACCCGAGTGAGGTTGGAGCGCAGCGGAGGGTTAGCTCTGAGGACAGCCGCCCTGGTCTGAAGCGGGTGTGGCTCAGTGGCTCTCTCCCCGCTGCAGGGCTTGATGTTCGGCTATGCCACCGACGAGACGGAGGAGTGCATGCCCCTCACCATCATCCTTGCTCACAAACTCAACGCCCGGATGGCAGAGCTGAGGCGCTCGGGGGTGCTCCCCTGGCTCAGGCCTGACTCGAAGACTCAGGTGGGTCTCTCCTTTGGTTCCAGACACACCTCAAGCCGCCCATCCTCTCATTCCCGTTAAGGCCAAAATGTGCAGTCTGGACACAAAGAATTGTGGATTTTGAAAAGAGTATTTATTTGAAAAATCTTCAGCTCTAGATGTCCCCCCCCATTTTATTACGAAAAATTTCAAAAGTACCGGAAAATGGAAAGAAATTTTTTAAGATTTTTTTTTTTTTTGCCTTCTTGGCATATGTTGATTCTGGTAATATAATTCCCCAGTTCCTGCCACAAACTTCTGAACGGGTTTCAAACTTTTGGTCACTACCCTGCCCCCAAGACAGGTCTCCGCATCTTGAGCAAGGTCTGGACACCCCCTGAGCAAGGATCGTCTGCATCTGTCTGGGCCTTTTCCTTTCTTTCTCATAAAAACACCTTCTCTTTGCTGTTCCTGCCTCTGGCCCTTGGGCCCTGACCGCAGAGTGAAGATCCCCACGGAGGTCTGTATTCGAGGCCCGCGGTGATGCCAGCGCTCGCACACCTGGAGGCCTCCTGTCCACCTTCCCTGTCCACCTGCTCCTGTCCTGGGGGCTCCCTCCCCCGGCTCCTCTTCCACATCCCAGGGGGTTCATGGTTCTTCTTCTACCCTCTCTCCCCTCTATCTGTGCTAGTGGACCCACCTGGGTTCCCTCAGCTCCAAATCTTCCACCTGCAGTCCTCTCCTAACCACCACCCCATTTTTCACTCGCCCTGCAAACCAACGTGCCCAGGAGCCCGCTGTGTGCCGCCTGGGCCGGGAGCGAGGCCCACTCTGGTACCCAAGCAGCCTGTGTGCGGGTGTGGGTCCCCTGCCGGAGCCTCCCGGCCCCTGGACCCCCAGGCCGCTGCACTGTGGGGCACTGTGTCCGGACCTGCTGCGAGGCCTTCTCCACCCGCTCCTGGTAGAGGAGTTTCCTCACCTCACCTGCGCTGACTGAACAGGATGAGTCTTTCCACCTGAGCAAACTCCTCCTGCTGATACGGGAGTTGAGTCGCAGCACGAGGCTATTTTTGCAGCTGGTCAGGGGTGTGTTTTCCGTGGTGCATTTTCCCGACATGATGAGATAAGAGCCCTGCTTGAGCCCCGAGCTCGGAGGCCACAGCTCTGTGGGTCTGCAAGGATGCCGCTGGGGCTCACGGCGGAGGGGAGGTCGGGGGCAGGGGCAGAGGAGACGGGCCTCAGCCGCCCCTTGGGATGCGAGCCTTCTCCTGCGGCCCGAAGGGCAGATCTAGCCCTAGAGCCAGTAGGTCCCCCCCATTTGAGAGCCCCCAACTCCAGCCCCTCCCACAGGGCTCTGAGTGTGCACAGCCCAGCAGCTAAGGGTTGCTTCAGTCCACAGATGTGGGTGTGCATCGCCCCTCTCACACGATGTCATGTGGGCAGGGTTCCTTCTCTCCCTTCTCCTGACCTCACCCTGTTGCTCTTTGGACCAGGCAGGATGCAGAGTGGGAGTGTGACACAAGTCCAGTGTTGCATGGACATCCGCGGGCCTGGGGCCGGCAGACACTGGCTGCAGGCACAGCCCCAGGAGGGCACTGCTTGCTGCCCTGTGGTCCTGTCGAGGCCCTGGGGTGGGAGCAGTGCTGTGCCTGCAGCCAGTGTCTCTACCAAGGCCCCTGGCATAGCTTCACTCCTGCAGGCCCCCACACGCCAGAGCCCCTCGGGCACTGCTCTTGTGGGTTCACACTGACTGGGTAGCAACGGGGCCTGTGCTCCAGCATAGCCCTGAGGGTCTTGAGTGACAGCTTCCTGCTGGGCAGACCCCTCGCCAGGCCACACAGCTCCCGGTCAGAGCCCGGCTTTGCTGGCTGTGTGACCTTGACCAAGGCATTTATGTTCTGGACCTCAGCTTTCTTGTCTTTAAGACGGGCTGGTAACAGCCTCTTAGAGCTTTTGGCATGGTTCCTGGCATACAGTGCATGCTCGGGCCATGCCGTTTCTTTAACCAGCTTCGTCTGCCGTGCTCACTGCTCCTCCCTCTCACTTGCCAGCCCCGGCTGCCCTGGCTGCTCTCCGCCTCACAGCCCGGCCAGGCGGGACGCCAGGCTCTCCTGCTCACTGAGGTGTCAGGAAAGGACGGGAGCAGCGTCTCGTCTGTGCTGCTGTGGGAATGGCACGGGCTTTGGACCAGGCAGAGCAGGGTTTGGCTCTTTGGCTTTTCTCTGACGAGCGTGTGGCTTCAGACAAGTGGCTTCACTTCTCATAGCCGTGTTCTCATTTGTGAAATGGAGCGCACAAGGCCTGCCGGCTGGAGTGGCTTACAGAGTAATCGGTCCTGCACAGAACGGGCACAGCCTGGCCTCGCTGGGGGCAGTGATGCTGGATCTGTCCCTGTGGCCTGATCTGGAGGGTGCTGCGGGCAGGTGCCGCCCGCCGGGTGCTGTCCGCTTCCCTCTCATTTGCCAGAACACCCAGAGCTGGCAGCTCCCTCGGCCTCAGCCAGTAAGTCACTGGCCCTGTCTGCCTCCCGAGCTCCTCCCCGAGAGGCTGGGACAGCTGGCCGTGGCCTGCAGACTCCTGTGTCCTTGGAAGGAGCCAGAATAGCTTGGCCCTGGGACATAGAGGATCAAGGGACGACTTTGACCAGGGGACACTTGTTGGCAACCAGAACCCTCTGAGATAGCAGTAAAGGGGTCCAGTGGGTCATAGAGAGACAACTGTGTAAACCCCGAGTCTCCAAGGGGCACTAATTGTGGCCACAGGTGGGACTAGCTTATGCCTGATGCCCTGCCATCGCATAGCACTAGGCAGCTATTCAGATACCAGATGCGTCAGATGAGCTTTCCTGCAGGCCCTTGGAAGACAGCAGGCCCCTGGCTCCTGGGAGCCCTGGCTGCCTCTGTGCCCAGCAGCGATGTGTCCTCCGCTCAGAGCAGGGCCTCACGAGTCTCCTGCCCTTCTGACCGACAGGTGACAGTGCAGTACATGCAGGACAACGGCGCGGTCATCCCCATGCGCGTCCACACCATCGTCATCTCTGTGCAGCACAATGAGGACATCACGCTGGAGGACATGCGCAAGGCCCTGCAGGAGAAGGTGATCCGGGCCGTGGTGCCCGCCAAGTACCTGGACAAAGACACCATCTACCACCTGCAGCCCAGCGGGCGCTTTGTCATCGGCGGTCCCCAGGTGCGCCCCGGTCTCTGGATGAGGCCCTGGTTTGTCTGTTACTGGGGTGCTCCCTCCCGGAGCACAGACTGTAGGGGGCTGTGTGACTCAACCAGGTCTGGCCTTGGGCAACTGTGAAGTCAGCTCCCTCTCTGTGAGGCTTGCTGTGTACCTGTCAGTACCTGAGGGACGGGGACGTGTCCCCAGGATTCCTCCACCTGTGCTGCCTGGCCCTCCCACTCCAGACAGCCCATTCTTTTTTGTTGTTGTTGTTGTTAATTCTCACCCGAGGTTATTTTCCCATTGATTTTCAGAGAGAGTGGAAGGGAGGGGGAGAGGCAAACAGAGAAACATCTATGTGAGACACATCGACTGGTTTCCTCATTGCCTCCCCCATGTACCCCGGCAAGGGCTGGGGATCTAGCCTTGCAACCAAGGTACATACACTTGACCAAATCGAACCTGGGACCCTCCAGTCTGAGGGTCGATGCTCTATCCACTGAGCCAGACTGGCTAAGGCCAGACAGCCCATTCTTGATGCCATGCTTGCCCAAGTGGCTGCTGCCTCACCTGCTAATGTGCTAACTCGCATCGCAAATGACTGACCTTTACCGGGTGGCGCTCACGGGTCTTTGCCACAGGCTCCCTTCAACTCCTGTGGGCATGGAGGTGGGCAGTTTATTATGTGGACACCTGCTGCCCCCTCTCTCCTGCCCCGTGGGAGCGAGGCCACGGAGATTGGTATGGCATCTGTGCGAGGCTGCCGGCCACTGTCGGGGCCTCAGTTGTGGCTGTGCTGCCACAGAGCAGAAGCCCCGTAACAGGCCCTGTGACCAGGCGAAGTGCAGGAGCACAGCCGGAAAGAAAGGCCACGCCGCTTGTATTATCTTGCAGGACCTCTTCAAGGCTAGAAACATGAGTGTGGACGTGATCTCTAACAGGGGGGAAAGCAGGCACTTTTCTCTAATCATTTAACCCAGAGCCCTGGCGTCTCCACTGCCGGGTGTTGCACAGAGCAGACACGGGAAGAAATGGGCACCATGGCGCTTACGGGGCAGCACCAGCGAGGCCCTGGCCCAGCTGTGCTGATTACGGCGCAGTTGCCTCCTGCAGTTGGATTTCTGCACTGTGATTGGCTCATGAAGCAGAGGCAGTGGGGGCTGGCTGCCATCCCAGCGGGCTCATCGTTTGCACTTTCTGATGAGGCTCTGCCGGCTTACTGACTTCCAGCTGGTCAGTGACTGGTCTGCTCTGGCCGACTCCAAGCCAAGGAGTTTTTGAAACATGCCCTTGGGCCACCGCAGGGCACCCTTTCCCAGCGGTGGTTCCGGCCATCACAGTGCCTCAGTGTCCGCTTCCCAGGCCCTGGGGCTCGGCTCTCATCTCCGTTTCCCCCTCTCCCCCTGCAGGGGGATGCGGGCGTCACTGGCCGGAAGATTATCGTGGACACCTATGGCGGCTGGGGGGCGCACGGTGGCGGGGCCTTCTCCGGGAAGGACTACACCAAGGTGGACCGCTCGGCGGCTTACGCTGCCCGCTGGGTGGCTAAGTCCCTGGTGAAAGCAGGGCTGTGCCGGAGAGTGCTTGTGCAGGTGGGTCCCCGCGCCCCCGGCCCAGCTCTGGCCACAGGATGCGGCTCTGGGGGTCGTGTGGGGCACTGTGGCCAGGACCCTGAAGCCCGGGGAGAGGACAGAACCTCAGGGAGAGGGCCATGTACAGAGCCTGTCACCCCGAGGACGGCAGGGCTACTGGGCAGACGGTGCGGGGAGCGTGTGGGGCGAGAGGAGCCTGGTGCGTGGTTCCAGCTGCCCTTCCTGAGGACGTGGGGTTTCTGTGGGGGGCAGAGCCCTGCCACCGGCTTTGGTGCCTGACCCTCGTCTCCCCCGGAAGGTTTCCTACGCCATCGGTGTGGCCGCGCCACTGTCCATTTCCATCTTCACCTACGGAACCTCAAAGAAGACCGAGAGAGAGCTGCTGGACGTGGTGAACAAGAACTTCGACCTCCGGCCTGGCGTCATCGTCAGGTGAGTCCACTGCCCTGCGCTCGTGGGCAGGACAGCTCAGCTCAGCGGGAAGGGAAGCAGGAGGAAGGACGTGCAGCCCCAGAAGCGGGGGGTCTTCGAGCCCTGGGCCCAGCACATGCACACCCAGGAGCAGGGTGTCTGGTGCTCAGGTTGAGGGGCCCTGTGAGATCCTGCGGGCCCAGCGGAGGCCAACTCCAGGTGGGAGGCCTCAGGAAAGGAAGAGGCTGAGTGGCTAAGGATTCAGGCAGCAAGTCTAGTCCCATCTGTCCTCACTTCTAATGCCATCCTTGCTTTCTAGAGCGTGCTAACTTGGCGTTGGTCTGGGCCAGGTCAGTGGGGTGCAGAGGAGAAAGGCACCGCGGGGCTAGAGTGCACTCCTGGCCCCTGATCAGGGTTTCCTGAGCCTCTGAGCTGCTTCCCAGGGGCCAGTGACAGTGACAGCCACCCACAGACACGGTGTCGTGTAGACAGGACATTTAGGGGAAATGGCCTGAGTTGTGACACTCCTCACAAAGACTGCGCTAGGCTGCTACTCCTGCGCCTGAAATTTGGAGAGAGACTCTGTTTCCATCCCACTGAAATGACCCTTTCTTCTGCGGGCCTCGCAGGGACTTGGATTTGAAGAAGC